GAACTTTTATGATCTCAACAAAGCAGATAGTTATTTGATGGGAACAGGGGGGAAAACAATGTCCTGCATACACCTGAGTCTATTCTGCTGACCCTAATTAGGCCCTGGCTCCCAGTAATGACAGCTCCAGAGTCTGAAATCTGAAATCTCAGATGGCATTAAATCAGATTATCCCAACTCTCCCTGGAGGGCTGGGGACAGCCAGAGAAACTAATTAGTCATCTTATCTTAAGATGTTGGGGGCAGGGCGATCTCCCCAAAGCTATTCAAGCCACAGCCCCGATACTGGGCCACTAAGATTGATTCTTGAGGGGCTTAAATCCCAAATACTCCGGTTCTGTACCTAGGAAAAGCCACCTGGCTGGGCCCCTGCTGCATACAGAGGATGAAAGACTGGGTCTTTCTGTGGGAACATTATAACCCCATCAAGGAGGAAGGGGCCATACACACACGCATCCACGTACAAAGTCACACAGATACCTGGGTTCGCCATTCATGACCACCTTGTAGTGTCACAGAATGTCAGAGCTGGAATGGATCCTTCTAAAACTTTTGTATTTGAATAACAATAAAACTGCGGGTGTAGCTCAGTGGTAGAGCGCTTGCCTACCTTGCACAAGGCCCTGGGTTTTATTCCTAGTACTAAAGGGGAAAGAAAATCCAGACCAGAGAGGATCAGGAGCTGGCAAGAGTTCATACATCTTACACCGATGAAGCCAGGTAATACACTGTCTAGGCATCACATTGATTAGAAAAGTACAAGTCAAAGACCAAATGTTGAAGTGACAGTAAAGGACATAGAACAAGGAGAACTGGGGCAATCAAGACAGACTTCACGGAGGAGGTGAGTCCTGAACCAATAAGATTGCACTAACATCCTGTATGTAGCTCTATGGCCTGAGTGTCAGTGTATATGTTCTCTAATTGATTGCTCACAAAAAAAAAAATCTATGAAATGGTATTTTACCTTCTCCAAAGGAAGAAATTGAGGCTCTGGGAAGCTATATTCAGTATTACACATACTCTATGTAATAGAGCCAGTCCTGGGCCCAGAATTCAGTTATTTTTCAAGATGCCTGTGTCTCCTTTACCAAAAGCTAGCCTTTGTCTGAGGGTACTGCTTTGACAATAGAAAATCTACTTAAATGAGGGAATGCTAAGATGAGATTTCACTTGTTTACTGACTTCCCCCTTCAGAGTTCCCAAGAGCCTCAGACATTGAAGATGTATGTGTTCTTACTGCTGCTATAACAAGTTATCACAAAGGGAAGGGCTTGAAACAACAAGAAGGTACAGTATTATAGCTCTAGAGGTCAGAATGCTGCTCCGGCTTCTGGAGATCCATGCTGTCCTTCCATTTTCAAAGTCCGCAGTAGCCAGTCAAGTACGTCTTTCACATTGGACACTGACTCTTATGCCCCCTCTTTCCACTCTATTTTCCTTTTTGTTAATCAGTGCATTTCAGTTAGACATAACTGTGGGATTCATTTTGACATATTTATAAATGCATATAACAGAATTTGCTTCGTTCCAGTCCCCAGTATGACCCCTTCCCTCTCCTCTTCCCTCCCCGATTCCCTTCCTCTATTCCACTAGTCTTCCTTCTATTAATTTTTTAACAGATGCATTATAGTTGTACATCAAAGTGGAATCTGTTGTGGTCTGCTCATTCCTGCACATAGCACAGTTTGGTCAGCCCCCTCCCACAGTTCCCCCCTTTCCCATCCCTCCTCCCTCTCCCTCGTTCCTCTTTCTTGACTCCCTGATATCCCTTATGTCTTCCTAGGACCCCCCCCCTTTTTGAATTCCTTATTTCCCTCTAGCTTCCTCATCTAAGAGAAAATGTCGACCCCTTGGCTTTATAAATCTGGCTTCGTTCACTCAGCATGGTGTTCTCAGTTCCATCCACTCACCAGCAAGTAACACATTTCATTCTTCCTTATGTCCAAGTAAAACTCATTTTAAGGATCTTTGTGAGTACACTGGTCCCTCCTAGATAATCCAGGATAATCTCTCTATTTCAAGGTCATAACACAGATTCTAGGGACTAGTGTGCGGACAACTTTGGGAGGCCACTATTCTGCCTTCCACAGGACTTTTGGGGTCAATTTTAAGAATGTTCCATCATTAATCAATTCAATGCGAGGCAGGGAACCCTTCTAGAGAAGTCACACTCTGGGTTTTATCTAACTGGATTCACCCCACGACCTGAGCACATGAGACCTGGTTGCTCCATTGTTCTGCTCATCACTCCTTCGCCTACTTTTCCTTGGGCTCAACCAAAGCCACAGAAGTGTATGTGGCACAGCAAGGTCATCTCTCTTATGCATCTGCTTCAGAAAATTCTGGAAATCCTAATCAGGCCTCCCCCACTCATCACCCATGCCTTTCCTAAGTCAGCCTCGGATTCTCGTTTCCTCTCACCTGGGCCTCGGTACTTCAACAGCCTCCTGACAAGACTCCTTCCTTCTTCGAGGCTGATTGGAATGCCCTTGTCCGCGGTCCTTGCCTAGGTGATTCCTACTGTCCAGTAAGACATAGCGCATATTTCTTCTCCTGAAGTCTTCCGGGACCTTCCACTCAAGATCAAGGAGGGGTTTTCCTTCTGAGACGTGGGGACTGGCCTCTTCCTATCTTCTTCAGGAAACTGTGAACTGCTTAAAACCCAGGCCACGAATGACTGAAAGAATAAATTAATAAATTCAGTGGTAAAGAATCTCCTGCCCTCTAGGACCCAGGAGAGTTGCTCTGTGTCTTAAACCCCATTCCACAGAAAAGACAAAGGAGACAGCGAGGGAGAGAAAGAATAGGGGAAAACAGGAAAAGGATGGGAGGGAGGGAGAGAAAAGAGAAAGGAGAAGAGCCTCTCCACCCTGTGCAGCACCCCGAGTCCCCAGCTGACCTTGGATCTTCAGATGGACCCACAGGAATTCCACCTGTCTCCCACCGGGTCACCAAGCGCGGCCCATCAATCCTACCTGCACCAGTCCTAAAAGCCCAAAGTACCACTTGGTCTCCCCAGCTCACCTTTTAAGAACTTTTCAGTCATCACGCATCCCAAACCAATAAAAACGGTCAAAGGCACTCCTTATTTTACCTATTTCTTAGGAAACGACCTAAACCGACCTCTTTCAAGTTAAGGTTTTAATTGGACCTAAAGTTCATGGGAGGAGTGGAGCATCATCATTCATAAAGTCCCTGGGATTTGGTCAAAGTTAGCAAACACAAAGCCTCTACTTTGTGGACGAGGGGCATCTTTCATTACTAATCTTTAACCATTTTCCATTGAAGGAGAACGTCCCCTATTCCCCACTGTCCCCCACACCCTCCCATTCCTTCATTAATGCTAACCACATCAGTACTCATCTGCCTTCCATCCTCTTCCACTGACTATACCCAGGGCATAGCTTCTACGCTCTGGAAACTTACAACCCAGGAAAATCATACGATCTTGCACACAAATGACCGGAATTCCTAATAGCAACAATGCATGGCATAAAAATAGCACAAACACGAGATGCTCTAGGAGTTCGAGAAGAGAGGAATTTATTTCTGGTTTACAGAAACCAGAAAAGGCTCTTGGGTGATGATAGACCCGAGTGGAACTTTCAGAATGCTCAGCGTTTCAGCAGACACAGGGAAGGACAGCACCTCGGGTGGACTCAACCAGGGTGTAGAGGTGGAGAGAACTGGGTGTGTTTGCTTTGAAACTTTTCCTTTCATCCCTTGGATTTTATTGACCTGAATTCCAAGAAAAAGCTTTCCAGAAAGTAAGGAGACAGACTGACCTTGTTCCAACCTGTCTTCTGGGTCACTGTGAAAACTCCGTGAGCAACTCCACTTTCAGAAGTCTGTCATAAATCAAGGTTGAGAAGATGACGATGGCCTGCCCTCTCCCGCCTTTCTCACCCCCTCCACCCCACTTCCCAGCCCAAAAGCAACAAATCACTCCAACTTCCCTCAGGACCTTTATGCAGAAAAAGCACTCTATCCAGAAGACTGTCGGCCCCTGGTTTGCTTGGAACCACATGATGCGCCATCTTCTTTGGGTCTGGAAGAATAACTTTCCAGGCTCCATGAAGAGGCATCCAATGGATAGGCCATGTAATCCCCTGGCCCAGACAGACCCCGGGCCTTAGAAAAGTCTTCCCATTGGTGAAGATGAGATGAGCAAGGTGGATCTTATCTTTCACCACATCCGGAGCCAGTTTGGGCAGACCAAGAACATCAACCCTGGTTTAACAGACTGAGATAACATTTGATGAACATTCTTTTCCTGCTGCCACTGATGGAAAAGATCTGAGAGGTGCCCCTCCCTGCTGAGGTCTGGTGAGGACCCAGAGGCCAAAATGCAGGCTGATTAACAGGCATCCCAAGCAGTGACTCAAACCGTTCGTGATTTCAGAGGAAGCTCGTTATGGTGACTCCACAATTAGGACCTCAACCCACGTGGCCTGTCGGTCCTGCAGGAAGCCAGACCAAGGACTATATAAACGTCCCCACCTTGCCTGGCTCTGCCATCCAGATCCTTGGTTGAGTCTCGTTGAAGACAGGTAAGTGGGGGTATCTGTGCGCTCTCTCTCTCTCTCTCTCTCTCTCTCCCCTACTGCATCTTTGGGAAGCCCCTGTTCTGCTCCTCCCTTGCAGGGTATTTGCTTCTGATTTTTGAAGTGGTTTGCCATTTCTTGGGCTTCTCAAACCATTCTGTCTAGTCTCTTTCACCTGACTCCAAAAGGATCAGTCAAGTTGAATAGAAAGGTAAGTTCTATGGGGAGACTAGGGTTTCGGGGTATGACTATCCAAACAAAAGTCTGTTTCCAGCTCAGAGACAGGTGTCACAAGGAACTGAGACCGCGATAGAAGGAGAAGTAAGGATTAATAATCATTTATTCCCTGTCACTGTCTCAACTTTTTATGCCTCGCCTGTTTCCAGTCTGGGACTTTTAATGCAGAGCATTTCAAAGCTGGTGTTTGTTTCAGATCCTACAAATCACCCTAAAATGTCCTTCAGTGACCAGCAGTGCAAGCAGCCGTGTGCACCCCCTCCGTGTCTGCAAAAGACCCAAGAGCGGTGCCAGGCCCAGGCTGAGGTGGTGTGCCTCCCCCCACGCCAGGACCCCTGCCAAGAGAAGTGCCCAGCACAAGCTCAGGAGGTGTGTCTTCCTCAGTGCCAGGAGTTAAGCCAAGAAAATTGCCCACAACAAGGCCAAGACCCATGCCTACCTCCATGCCAAGACCAGTGTCTGCCTCAGTGCGTGGAGCCATGCCAGGAGCCTGCCCAGACGAAGTGTGTGGAGGTTTGCCCACAGAAGGTCCAGGAGAAGTGCTCATCCCCTGGCAAGGGGAAGTAGCTGCTCCTATGCCTTCTGGGGCCAAGAAGATGGCCCACAGAAAAAATCCAACCCCAGCCCCTGCTCTGGTGACCTTCTCCTGTGGGTGTCCCTGTGGGCAATGTACCCTCTGGCCTTCTGGCCTCCTCAGTATTCCAGGACTTGATCCCTGTCTCTGAAGACAGTTCTCTCCGTGTTTCATCAGCCTCCATGAATGAGTATTGTTCTCGGCCGTCGTGGAAGGGCTCAAATGTAGAAAAGGTGTAGTTAACAAGGGACACCACTGAAGCCAAGCACAGTCCTTTGAGCCAAAAATCCACCTAAACCTGGGCTTGTAATGACCAAGAACTCCTTCGTCTTCCACAGCGGCAGGCACTCATTCAAGCCTCAAAACCATCTGAACTTGACGGACTTTGCACTTATCATCACCACCACGACCATGGGTGTCCCGAAGAGGAGGTTGGTGGTGGTGCAGAGATCAGAAACTAAGTCATTTTGTCTCTGCATCCTGAGAGCCAGTGATTGGACATTGCGATGTTGGGTGTGTTTTTTTTAAAAAAAAATGAAACAAAAGTATGTAAACGATTGAGTCCAAATAGCCCAAAAAGAAATACAAATGGGATGTTTGGGTCCTTGCCAATCTTTGTGCTTCCTAGCAGGTCTGTTTGGGGCCCTTGATTTTCACCATGTACGCTCTTTACGGATGTGATTTGTGTCCCTCTGATATGAGCTCGTCTGCTCTCCAGCTTCCTTACCTTCTTCTCCCTGGTGAAGGTAACGTACATACAATAAAGCTGATCCTGAGTCTGATTCTGACTTGACACGTGCTCGTTCCTTTCTACCTCCCATCACCTGATGTCCCTGTGGTCATCATTGTATTCCATTTGGGAGGGAAATCCAAGTGGGAATAAAAAGTAGACATCACAGGGACAACAAAAGGCCTTCCTCCAGGTCCCTGGCCACCCCACAGAGCCTTCCTCCAGGTGCCTGACCACCCCACAGAGCCTTCCTCCAGGTCCCTGACCACCCCACAGAGCCTTCCTCCAGGTCCCTGGCCACCCCACAGAGCCTTCCTCCAGGTCCCTGACCACCCACTCACCTCCTCTTCAAGGCTCACCCATGAGGAAGCTCAGCATGAGGCTGGGACCAGCCACCCTCAACCCAGACCCAGGGTTACTTCCTCTACAACATCTTCCCTCTCTGAGTCTCGATTTTCGGAGGAAAGGGCTGACATGGGGAGGAGGGAAATGGCGGGGAAGAGGCATCCCAAATCCACCCACACACCTACACGCACAGCATCAGTGTGAGAGGGAAGAACTAAACATGCCTCTGGGGAGAACAGGCTTGAGGACCAAAGTAGTCTGCCCTGCCATCTGGCCAGCTTTCAGAAAAGCCAGACAGCCTAGGTCACCTGGCTGTACCCTGTCACTCTTCTGCCTGGGGAGGAAGCATAGGCTGCAACCTCGGGTTGTGTGAAAGGGCTGAGAAGTTCAGGCCTGACCTGAAAGAGCCAAACATCTGCCTCCTCAGCAGTGTCCAGAGGTGTGACCTGGGCCCAGAGGAAGGGCCAGGTCAAGGGCCAGCCTCCTGAGGGGTGAAGGGGCCCTCCTGATCCATCCCCTGGCCACACTCCCTACCCAGTCCATGTGAGGAGAAACCGCAGGTCAGCCTCTCCCTGAAGGCTCCTGAAGCCCACTTCTCAGAGGTTTGGCTGAACTGAGGACCTTTCAGCTCTGAGTCAGACTGGCCTCCCCATCTTAGAGATCATTCTGGAATAAGATAGAACCGTGGCATTCTTTGGGGGAAGATTTCAAAAGGCAACACGGAGCATCCCACACTCCCTGAGTCTGCGGGTGGCCGGGCCAGGCCCTGAGCTCTGGGGACATCCTCTAAGGGAATCCTAACAGTGGCTTCAGGGAGTTCCGCTGGTCTGGTTCAGGGGTTTGACTGGCCTCATAAAGCCAGGGAGTGATGAAACCACTTTGCTATGACTCCTCCGCAGAGCCCTTCCTTGCCTGACAAAAGTGCCCATGACACACAGAAGAGATTCACAGTAACTGTCTCCTCCTTGGCTCATTCTTCCACCCAACAAGTTCCCTGATCACTCGGCAAATGCCAGGCACGGTTCCAGGTGCTGGAGATGGTGAACCAGGTGGCCGGCATCCCTGTGCAGAGCCAAAAGCTCTATTTTCTGCAGGCCACACCTTTCCTCAAATCTCTGGGATATCTCAAATCCCTGAGTCATTCTTCTCTGGCCTCCCTGGCTGGTGGGAATTGGTTTTTCCATTCATTTTCCAACCTCCGAATAAGCCTGTTGCTCTCCAGGACCTAGCTGCTCCCAAGGTCCAGCTACTCCTCGGGGCCCAGCTACTCCACAGGATCAAGACCTGCAGAAAGACTCTCCTCTCAGTGAAGCTTCTGATTGGGCTAAGGGAGGCTCATAGACCCAGTCTCTAGCTTAGCTCAAGCCCAAAAAATGTCTTTGTTCTCTGACACTAAAGACAGATTGGAGCCCAAGATCACACAACCACAGTGGAGAGAAGTGTAGACTGATGGGCAGGGAGAATCTAGCCGTATCAGATAGAGGGGCAACCTGGTGATTACGGAGGAGGCCTCAGCAGATGGAAGGGGACGGGCCTGCTGATGGCAGATAGGAGAACAGACTCCAAGCAGCCAGCTGTCCTGGGAACTCCCCCACCTCCCTGCGCTCACAGAGCTCTGACCCAGCCCCTGCCCAGACTACTGCTGCAGGGGTCTGGATCCTAATGACATGGACTCAGACCACAGCTACAAAGCCCAGAGGCCACAGGTGACAGCTGGAGCCCTTAAGGGGGAAGGAGCATTACCAGGAGAGTCCCAGATGTCAAAGGTTCTAGTTGACAGTTGATCCAGTAGGTGATCAATAGCGGACCGTGGGCTCCGCGTACCAAGAGAGAGAAATACAGACGGACACAAGTTCAAAGGAGGGCGACATGGATTCACCCATCCATTCAACAGGTATCTATGAAGAACCCCCTGGGCCACGGCACCCTGCCCCCTCTAGAGCCCCATGACAGCATGGGAGGGGCAGACAAGTAGCACAATGGCCTGAAAGATCTTCATCTCAGAAACTGCTGAAATATATCTAGTCTGAAGAAGAAAATATCCTAGGGAGCATGAGAGTTGTCCTCAAATATTTCTAGTGCCTTTTATTTCTGTGACATGCTAAAGGACAATGTTTTGGTCAGCTGTTTCACTTCTGTGACTAAGAGACCTGACCAGACCAATTGTAGAGGAGGGAAAGTGTATTTGGGGGCTCACAGTTTCAGAGGTCCATACCTCAAGGCTGGAGGTGAGGCTGAACATCATGGCAGGGAAACAGCTCAGATGAGGATCAGGAAGCAGAGAGAGACTCTACTTGCCAGGGGGAGAAGACATACCCCACCGCCACATCCCCGGTGACCCACCCCTCCAGCCCACCCTACCCGCCTTCAGTTACCACTCGGTCGATCCCATTAGAGGGGTAACTCACTGATTGGGTTAGGGCTTTCATAACCCAATCATCTCTCCTCTAAACCTTCTTGCTTTGTCTCTCACGTGAGCTCCTGGGGAACTCCTCCATCAAACCATAACAGACAGAGTTGGGACCCATGGGCAGATGTTATAGATTTGGGTTCAGTTTAAGAATTTCCTTATAAATGAGATCCGTTTGATGGTGGCAGGAGCTGCTTATAGAAGCAGTACCCCATGAACAGGAGTGTTCCCCAAAGTCAGGACACAGAAGGTTCATAGGCTTCTAGAATACTCCTGGGAAGCTCTTCGGAGGGCCCAAATTTAAGACCGTGTGACCAACAACTTGAACACTAAAAAATAAGAAGGACAAGTCAGTGAAGTAACTCCCCCAGTTTTGAGCTTTCCTAATATGTTTGGGGCAACCACAAATATTTCAGCCTTAAACAGCACCTTAGGTTAATTCCTCACTGCCTTCCAAGACCAATCTTCTCAGCGGGGGTCCATCTTAGCCTCTTCACCCTTTATTTCTGTTTCTCTGTCATCTCGGTCTCCTTCCTCCTCTGTGCCCAAGGGACCCACCTCTTTTTCCACCCAACAACCCACTTCAGCCTCCTTCAGCCTGCCGCCCTCCAACCCAGGGATCACACCCCCACACATGTCTTGTGTCTGTGAACCCACAGGTTTCGGAGTTGCCTCCTCCAGAGAGCCTTCCATGATGTCCAGCCCATTTCCTAGGTATACAGGAAGGCAGGTCCCTGTGCCTGCCGCTTGGGCTCCATGCACCTGCTCTATTCCTGGAGGTCTATGCCCCCCCCAAAACTGCGTATGTATGGATGAGAAGGACAAAGGAAAATTCTCATCTGTGGAGTCACCTGGGAACCTCTCTTATTAATAAGGCAACCAACTCATCTCGGTTTGTCTGGGGCTGTCCCAATTTTCACACTGAAATTCCTGCATCCTAGGGACCCACTCACCCCGACACACTGAGATGACTGGTTGCCCTAATCTCATGCCTGTGTGCGAGACATGATGCTGGAGCACAGAGGGAAAGCAGGCTAAGCTCCCTCTGGGGAAAGAATTAATAGCCCCTGCAACTCTTCTGTAACATTGCCGTCCCAGAGGGGTTAGTGCCCAGGTGCTGGACCATTCAGAGCCCCATTTACCATGGGTATGGGGAAGGGGACACTAGATGAGCAGGCAGGTCCTGTGGAACATGCACTGGCAGATCCCAACTCAGACAGGGGGGATACTCAAGGATATTCCCACTTTTTCTACCCCACTGCCATCATTAACCTCAGAACAACTAGTCCATGGGCAGCATATCTGGACTTGTCCACTCTTGCTCTTCTTTCTCTCCTGGAGATGCTGGGAAAAGAGGCAGGTAGCTGCATGGTCTCCTCATTCCCCAGCTGGTTGCTCTCCTATGGAAACCACTGGGAATGCTTTTCTCTTCCCAACAGCGCCCCCTAATGGCCATAGATACACTCTGCCTTCTACTGGCCACTCCCAGCCTGGCCTGGTCAGAGGCA